TGTAGGAGTGCACGGTTCGTGCTGTCTGGTTGTGTAGGGGTGTGATCAGCTCTGGATAGTTCCGTGCCGGCATATGTTGTTTCGTGTTGCTTTGCGAGTGTGTCTTCTAATTCGTTTCATGGGTTGTTGTCGTGTCCATGTATGTGGTGTATCGTGATGGTGTGCTGTTGTTTGCTAAGTGGACAATGGCTTGTGCTAGTCTCGTGATTGGGTCGCTGGAGTCTTGAAGCTGCGTGATGAGGTGTATTGCGTTGACTGGGTCGGTGCGGATCTGCTTGTCGATGTGGGGTGTTTGTTGAGTTGAGTAGATGGTTGCCCAGATGATGGCTGCTAGTTCTCTGTTTGTGCTGTCAAGTCGGGGGTAGTTTATGTCACTTTGTATGTTGTCGGTGATGCTCCCTGGGTAGTGTCCAATGTAGTTTTGGTTGGTGCCCGTCGCAGTGGAATGCGGCGAATGCCCATGCTAAGTTGGTTTTTGCTGTCTGTAGGGGGCCGTCGGGATATATGAGAAGGCTTGTTGTGGTTCGTAGCGGTTGTGTGTAGTATGGGAGTGTTGTTTGCGTGGTTGGGTGAAGTTCGATATCTGTGAGGTCGCGTCGTGGTCGAATGCGAGATTGGGAGTCGGAACTGGTTGGAGCAGATGCTTCGGGATGGGTTGCTTGAGATGATTTACGCTGAAGCTACGTGCGTGAGACGTGGCGTCGCCAAGAGCTGATTGAGGGTGTTTCGTAACGTCAGTTCCACTTAGTGGAGTATGCGACGGGAAGGCTGGGTCAGTGCAGGTGAAGCTTTGCTGAAGTTGAGCTGGGTCGTGCGTTAGTGTTGTTGGCGAGTCTTCTTGTCCTGGGAAGGCAGGTACGGGTATGCTTGGGCTGTTGGCTGTGTCTCTTGGTACGTGTTAGGGTGCGCTTCTTGGCGGTGAGTGCGGTGCTGATGGTCGGTCGTTGGTGGTGGCTCGAACTGTAACCTTCCTTTGCAGTGAGTATTCCGTTACTTCGGAGGGCTGGTGTAGTGTTTCGTGTTGGTTTGTTATGTCTTGTTGTTGTGGGTTGTTGAAGTAAAGCGCTGTGTCTTTTGATGTCATGTTGAGTGTGAGTGGTGTTCTTCTGAGTTCTGGTGCCCTTAGTTGTGATGCAGTTGCATGGTGTACTTTGGTTGGTGTTGGTGGGGTGTGGGTTTCGAGGTGCTCTGGGGGCGAGTTGCTCTGTTGGTGTGAGCGGTGCTTCCTGGGTTGTGTCGATAACCAGTGGTGTTGGAGGTCGGTCTCTTGGGTCACGTGTGTCGTCGTCGTGCTGCGTCGTCGGTGGGTCAGCGATGTGTGTGCTCGTCGGCGTAGCTGTGCCGATGATTCCACTTAGTTCGTGTTGTAGTTGTTGCACGTGTTCTTCAACTTATTATCGCTGCAATTGCTGTCGTTGTAAGTCGTGTCGTCCTTCTTCAAAGACAGTGTGCTCGTAGCCAACCAGTAGGTTAACGCGCACGTCTTCGTCAAGCTCTTGGTCGTAGTCGGACATCGCTTGTAATGTGGCTGGTTGTTGTGCTTTTCGTAATAGTTATTGTAGTTATTCTTTGCTGTGTCTGCGCCATTGCTCTGATTGTGCTTGTGCCTCCCCGTACTGCTTCATCTTGTATGGTTGTTTTTTAATGTATGCTGCTGTATGATGTTTGGTTTGCTCGTCTGTGTTCAGTCGTCGTTGGTAGTGCTGGCTGACTGTGTGGAGATGCTCTGCTGCGTTGTTGGGTATGATGGTGGCTGCTGTCTCTTCTTGATAGTTGTCTAACATGTTAGTTTCGTGTTTCTGGAGTCGTTGTGCTGTCGTGACTGCTTCCCGTGTCTCGAGTATGCCTTGGTCGGATATTTGTTGTGTTGTGGCCTTTTGTGCTTCGTGCTCAGTGTGCTGCTCTTGTTGTCTGTGTAGGTGGTGTTCGTGTCATCTCAGGCTGGTGGCTTCTTGAGTGAGGCCCTGCTCCAGTATCTGTATTTTGTTCGGCCATGCCGATGCAAGGCGCTTGTCTTTGGGCGAGTGTTGTTTGTTGTGCCTGGTAGTGCATGTGTAGCTGTTGTATGGTTTGTTGCATCTGCTCTTCGGTGGTTTGCTTGCTTTGGTAGATGTCTTTCTTGTACTTTTCGAGGTCGATAGGTCGTTGTACTGGTAATTGTTGTTGTTGGACATGGAGTCCTAGTCTTAGCTCGGCTATGGTAGCTTGCGCCTCTCCTTCCTGATTGGTGTATCTTAGGTGTGCTTGTTCTCGGTTGTCGGGAGCTAGGTTGTAGTCGTACTTGACTTGTTTCAGCTGCGCGTGGTATTGGAGTGCTTATGCAGTAAGTCTTTCAAGTTGGTGGTTTCTGTGCTCGTTCTGATTGGTCGTAATATGTGCGTGTTTTTCTTCGTTTGCCACACGTCCTAGTGCTGCTGATTCGGTGCGTAGGAGTCGCATTTGGCGAAAGTTTCCCGCCGATTTTGGTCGCACGCTGGGTTCCCGGGTTCCCGGTTCCGGGTTCCCGGGGGTTCCCGGGTTCCCGGTTCCGGGTTCAGGGCTGATTTCGGAGGGCGGCGAGGTTCCCGGGTTCCCGGGGTCCTGGTCGATCTTCTTATCGATCGGTCTCACCATCGATTTCATTACCCACTTCTCTATCGATCTCACCATCGATCTCACAATCGATCCCATTATCCCAGTGCGACCCTACCTAGGAGTTGGAGCTCCTAGGAAAGCAGCATTCGTAGTAACAGTAAAGCTAAGCTAAAGCTAAGCTAAAGCTAAGCTGAAGCTAAGCTGAAGCTAAGCTGAAGCTAAGCTGAAGCTAAGCTGAAGCTAAGTTGATGCTAAGCTGACGCTAAGCTAAAGCTAAGCTAAAGCTAAGCTCTAAGCTAAAGCTAAGGTAAAGTCAAGGTAAAGCTAAGGTAAATCTAGGGTAAAACTAACGTAAAGCTAAGTTGAAGCTAAGCTAAAGCTAAGCTAAAGCTAAGGTACAGCTAAGCTAAAGCTAAGCTAAAGCTAAGCTAAAGCTAAGCTAAAGCTGAGCTAAAGCTAAGCTAAAGCTGAGCTAAAACTAAGCTAAAGCTAAGCTAAAGCTAAAGCTAAAGCTCCCAGGGGACTGGGGGAACCGCGGGGCGGGGACTGGGGGAACCGCCCGGGGCGAGTTGCACTGCCCGGCCCCTTTAAGAAAGAGAGCAAGAACCCTCTAGGCAGAGCCTAGGTAGGGAACTATCGATCTCACAAGCGATCTCACTAGAAATCGCATGAACGATCTCGCGATCGATCTCATTGCCGATCTCATTGAATCGATGTCACTCTTGGTCCTCACTAGTCCTCATTGCCGATCTCTTGATCGATCCTCAATCGATCGACCTTACAATAGTCCTCACTATCAATTCCACTATCTATCTCACAATCGATCTCAAGATCCATAGTCTTAATTTTCAAATCATCCACTGATTGGGTTTTCTCAGGTGTAATTGTCGTGCTTGTCATTGCTCCCGTGCTTGGTGGCAGTCGTTGGATAAGTTGTCGCTTGCCGTTTGTAGTTGCTGCATGGTGTCCTTCTGCGTTCGTGAGCTGCTGCTGCTGCTGCACGCGTGTGTCGTTTGGTCGGTGTTTCGTGTGCTGCGCGTAGCTTTTGCATGAGTGTGACGCTTGTTTGCAGGTCGTCAGGTGCCTTTTTGAGCAGTGGCTTGAGTCTAGTCGTGTCGTCTTCCTCGGGGGTATTTGTCGAGCTTGACTAGTCCAGGGGTTGCAGTGATGTCTTTGCTCGGGGGTATTTGTTGAGCTGGATGTCCTGTGCTCTGGGTGGCGTCGAGTGGTTGTCGTGTGGCCTTGGAGTGTGTTGTCTTTGGTGGACAAGCTCCTCTTCCAGGTTGGTGCATGTCTTCATGAGTCGTATGTTGTCGTCATGTCATTGTGATGCCTGCTTAAGCGTGGCTTCGGAGAGTGTGCAGGCCACGCAGCGTACTTTAGTTGTTCATCCTTTGGCTTTCGGTCGAAAAATAATATGTTGGTAACTGCAAGCTCTTGTCGCAGGTGGTCCGCTTGTTGTCCAGCTTTTTCGACTGCCGGTATTTGTGATGCTAGCTTCCTGATGTTGGCTGCTTTGGAAGTAGTCCATGCTCTTACTTCCAGTGGCGTGATGCCTGGTCTGTCTTTTTGCTGGGCGTCGTCGTGGTCTGCTCCGGGTATGCTATCGATGAGAGTCTTGCTATCCCTGTCGATGTATGTTGCGTGGTCTGGGTCGCTGCCAAAGCTGGGTTGAGGCGGTTGATTATTGTGTCGGCTGTGGGTCCTGTCTTGTTTCTGTTGGGTCCTTTGTCTGGGTGTAGTCGCTCTCCGCTGGCTGTGGGTGTACCGAGGCTGGTTCCAGGTGTTTGTAGCTGGTGTTTCTGGTGCAGTATGATAGTCCATGTCTCCTCTGTGGTGCATGTGGGTCGCTTGGGATGGGTGATAGGTCGGAGCTTGCTGTGTGTAGCTGGTGTATCCGCTGTGGCCCACTGGTTGCCAAGTGGTGCTCTTGTCCTGGCCGCAGTGCTGCTTGTATTGTTGGTGTTTCCCCTTGCCTTGTCTTTTGGCTTGGGGTGCTGAGATGTGTCCGTACATATTTGTAGTTGTAGGTCGTGGTAGTTGTTGTGTGCTGTGATGTTGGTTGAGTAGATGTTGTGCAACTTGAATCCGTTGGTGGGTCGTATGGTCTGGTAGTGACCTTGCTGAAACTACTCTTAGTAATGTTCGTGCTGCTGCTGCTCTCCTCCTGGCCGGTGCACTTTTGTCACCGCGGGCGTTTCGCCCCGTTTCGGGCCTTGGGGCCACCACAGATCGGTCCGTCTCGAAAGACGCCGCAGAAAATTGGGCCTGGGGGTCCAGAGTTCAGATCCCAGGGACGTCAGATCTCAGGGACGGCGACGCCGACCGGCGGCGGCGGCGGTCGGCGGCGGCGTCGGCCCCGAGGGCGGCGGCGGCGATCGGCGGCGACATCGCGCGCCTCGATCCCGGGCCGGTGCACGTCGGAGGTGGCCGGCGACCTCCAGGAGCACCGGCGGGCCTCCTGCGCCGCGCACCACCGGCTGCTGGCGCGCCCAGCCGCCCCGCCGCCGCCGGTCGCCGCGGGCCGCAGCCGTCGGTCGCCCTCGTCGGTCGCCGCCGCCGCCGCCGTACGCCGCCGCCGCCGTTCGCCACCGTCGCCGCCGCTGTCGGTCGCCGCCGCTGGCCCGCCGCCGGCGCCCGTCGCCGCATGTCGCCCGCCCCGTTCCAGGCCGCCGTCGGGCCGCCGCCGTCGGCGACCTGCCCAGACATCTGCTGATATGTTTCAAGAGGGGAAAAAACACACAGACACAATTAATCGACGATCCCCAGGAAAATATGGGAAGTGGGGGGAAGACAAAGACCCAGAAAATATGCGAAAATATGGGGAAGTTTTTCATTTGTGTATTTATTTGTGTGTCCCAGGGCCCCTTCAATGTTTTTGTTCAGCTCGTGCCCCCCCCCTCCAGAAAGGTTCCCACCACTTCCCCAGGGGCACTTCTCCGTCCTGGAGGCGTTTTTCATGGCCCCTGGGGCACGATCCCGAGCCCCGAGGCCGCATCTAGGAACAACGTTGGGCAGGATTCGCCGCCATCGGAGGCGTCTGACGCCATCGGCCGCCGCCGCCGCCGCCCGCGCGCGGGCGAGGCGCAGCTGTCCGGGCTGCAGGGCGCGGGGTGGAGCTCCCCACCGTGTCCCGCGGGCGGCTCGCCGCCGCCCGCGGTCACGTCCTGCACTGTGTCGCCGGCCAGGCCGCGCGCCTTCGCGCGCGCGTCGCGCGCGACGGCGGCGACGACGACGTCTTCAGCGGAGTCGGCGTCATTGGCAGCATCGTCAGCGCCGCCGTCGCCGCCGCCCTCGTTCCTGAGGTCTGGGCGTTGCTGTGATTGTGTTCACTGGGCGTTCTCGCCCGGTTTCCGGCCACGGGGCCATCACAGATCGGTCCCGCCTGAAGAATGCCGAAGAAGGATGGGGTCTAGGGCTCTGGTCGTGATTTTCCGGGATGTTCATTCTTGTTCGCAACGTCGGATATCAGGGGACGCCGTCGTCAGTGCCGCTGTCGCGGCCGTCGTCGTCGTCCTCGTCGTTGTCGTAGTCGCCACCGCCGCCGCCGCCGCTGTCGTCGTCGTCGTCATCGTCGTCGTCGTTGCTGGGCGTCGGCGTCTCGTGCCTCGCCACATGGTTCGAAGCCTTTTCTGGAGCTCTCCGTCCTTCTCGTTGTCAAGCGTTTGGAGGTCCTACCAGTCGGACGGAAAAAGAAGACCGTGGGCGATACGAAATCTGCTGCATGCAGCTGAGCTCTGCCCCGCCGCCGAGCGCTTTCTTGGATATAGTGGCGCCTCCTGGCATCGCTCGGACGTGTGCGTTTTTTTCCTCGGCGAGGACCATCGAGGAGCATCCTTGACCATTTGGCGAAAAAACCACGCACGAAACCGGAAAAAAACACAGGGAATGGACGTCCGAGCGATGGCGAGGCCTCCGGCACAAAGAGGTGCCAGGAAAGCTGGCTGCCTGAGCTGATTCGCTACGTCCCCCCTCTGTACTGCCCTCGCCTATCGTCCGACCCGAAGGGAGGGCATCAGAAGGCGCACTTTCCTCTGCTCTGGAGGTCGGGCCTTCATGGCTTCAAGGGGTTTGGGTGCCCTGTGTGTTTGTAACTGGTCCAGGGGGTGCCAGATTTTGATGCACAGCCTCTATTCAATTCTGATTTCTGGTCCACGGTTGCTTCTCCCTCATGAACTTTCGGAGCTCCGCGCGGATTTCTTGGATCTGGGCTGGGCCCCCATGGCGGCGCTTCTGGCGCCGCCCCTGGCGCGCTCCGCCGCGCTCCGCGCGCCAGGGAGGGGTGTCTGGCGCAGATCCCAGAAATTCGCGCGGACCTCCAAAAAGTTTATGTGTATGCCGTTTTTTGTTCCTCCATGTTTCCCCTTGCGCACTCACGAGGCTGCACGCACAAAGGCTGGTACACGTAGGATCCTGGAGTTCAGGAAGAGGTCTAGCGAGAGTCCCATGAGCCGCCACGCATCCAAGCAGCTGCTGCATATTGGGTTGACTTCTGAACGAACGAGCCAAACCAATTTTTAAGCGAGAGCCACGATCTGAAAAGGAGCCGCCCTCCATCGCTGTAACCGTTGCACGACGTGCAGCCCGAGGAAGTCTCAGGCGAGAGCCCGAGCCTGGAAAGCAGCCTCTCTCTCCAAGCGTGCAGCCGCTCTTTCTCTCCGGATGACGGTGCGCAGCGCCGAGGCGACACGCCCCTGTTTGGCAGCCGCCCCGCCTCCTTGCGTGCCTACCTCCCGCCCCCGCCCGTCGCGGGAAGGGGCCGACTCGGAGCCGGCCTCCGCCTCCGAGGGCCCGCAGCGCTTCTTGCTCCCCGCTGGGGCCAGCGCGCCCCCCGAGCGTCCGGGGCGCGGGCCTGCAGCTCGCCATGCCCGCCGCGCGGCGCGGCGGTGGGCCAGCGCGCTGCGACCGCGGGCGCGCGCGGGGCGCCTTCGCGGGCCTCGGGGCCCTGCTGGGCCTCGCCGCCGCGCTGGCTGAGACCGCCCCGGCGTTCGTGGAGGCCGCCGCGGCCGTGGTCGCCGCCGTCCCCGTCGCCGCCGCCGCCGTGGCCGTCGCCCTGGCCTCCGTCGCCGCCGTCGCGGCCGTGGTCGCCGGCGCCGCCGTCGCCGCCGCCGCCGCGGCCGTGGTCGCAGGCGCTGCCGTCGCCGCCGCCACCGCCGTCGCTCGTCGCCATTGTTGGCTTTCCTTCTGGCGGCGGCCACGACGGCCACGACGCCGCCGCCGACGCCATCGCCATCCGCCGTTGTCGTCGCCGTCCTCGGAGTCGCCGTCCTCGCCGTCGCCGTCCTAGTCGTGGCCGTCGTCATCGTCGCTAACTATCGTCGTCGTCGCCGTCCTCGCCGTCGACGTCATAATCGCCGTAGCCGCCGCAATCACCGTTGCCGCCGCCGCCTCCGCCGTCGTCGTCGTCGTCGTCGTCGTCGTCGTCGTCATCGTCGGCGTCGTCGTTGTCGTCGTGGGCCCAGGGGCCATCACAGATCGGTCCCGCTTGAAGAATGCCAGAGAAGGAAGAAGGATGGGGTCTAGGGCTCGGGTTGTGTTTTCTCGGGATGTTCAAATTTTGTTCGCAACGTCGGGTCTCGGGGGGCGCCGTCGTCAGCGCCGCTGTCGCGGCCGTCGCCGTCGCCCCCGTCGTTGTCGTAGTCGCCGCCGCCGTCGCCGTTCTCGTCGTCGTCGCCGTCGCCGTCGCCGTCGTCGTCGTCGTCGTCGCCATCCTCGCCGTCGCCACCGCCATCGCAATCGCCGTCGCCCGCGCACTCATCGTCATCGTCGCCGTCGCCATCGCCATCGCCGTCGCCGTCGCCGTCGCCGTCGCCGCCGCCGTCCCGCCGCCGCCGCCTCCACCTCCGCCTCCGCCTCCTCCTCCTCCTCCTCCTCCTCCTCCTCCTCTTCCGTAGCCATTTTGGCTCAAGATGCCTGCTTTGCGCAAGCAGGGAATGGATACCGCTAGTCCGCGGCCAGTTTCCGCCACGCGCGCTGCCCCTCCGCCCGTGCGCGGCGCTCGTGGCTCATGGCGCCCTCTGCTCCTGGTGGACGGCGCAAGAAGAAGAAGCTACCTGGTGACGCTCGCGGCAGTGGGGCTCGTCCTGCTGATGACGGTGCTGATGCAGGCGATGGTCGTGCCGACGAACGGTCCCGTTCCAGCAGATGCGGCTCTGATGAAGAGAACGATCCAGACATGGACCCCACTGGTTGGGACGACCATGTCAAGGGCCTCATCGATGGCCACCTCCGCAGCACGTTCGCCTCCTTCAAGAATGAGATCACTGGAATGGTCGCCTCGACAGCGTCCGCTGCTGCCACGCAGGCCGTCGACCCTGTCATGGCCGCAATCCGTGCTGTGGAGGATGCCGTCAAGAGCGTCCCAGCCACGTGCCAGCAGAAGGTGGAGGCTTCATTTCGTCCCGAGCTGGCCGCGATGGAGCGGCGGTTCCAGACACAGCTTGACGGTCTCAATGCCAGAGCCACCAGCTTGGATTCACGCAGTGAGAAGATGCATGATGAGCTTGGGGACATGCACAAGCAAATGGATGGGCTGCGCAATGCCTTGGCGCTCGCACATCGTGCCCCGCCACCGCCCAAGCCCCCAGCAGCTGGATTGCACAGAGAAGTGGACGCGACGGTGCTCAAGATTGTGGCTTCCTCCATGGTCAAGCGTAAAGATGTCCACGGCTCCATCAAGGCCTGGCTGGACAAGTCCAAAATTGAAGGATGGGAAGTTCAAGGAGAAGAGCAAGATCGGCTGTTTACGCTGCAGTTCACAGGCCCTGTCGCTGTCGCGGGTCGACGCGCAGTGCAGGCCCTCGGTGCTCTTCGACTGCCTGGCAAAGGCAACTGGATGCGCTTTCCCGTTCCTGCCGCCTCTGGAGGGTCCACGCAGCTGCACGTTGGTGCCGACAAGAACCCGTTCCAGATCAAGCGTGAGATTGCTGGGAAGAAGATCACGGCCGTCTTGCGAGAGGAGTACCCTGACGCAAAGCTGTTCTTCGATCGCCAGAATGGATGGATCTCTGAAAGCTGGAACCCGATTCTTCGTATTGAGCCGCAGCCAGGACAGGAGGCGACAACATCTTATTGGAATGGTGCGGCGCTTGCTACGAGGGAGTGGACCAGGGACGAGATCAAGGCGGCCATCACCAACATCATCACCCCCAATGGCGAGCCCGAGTGGAGCCTTTAGCCAGCACGACGGCCTCTTTCGCTCAGATGTTGAAGGTGGGATGTCGCCGAAGTCAGGTCAACTCGTCTTCTGTACCTGGAATGCGAGGGCCTTCTTGAGGTGGCGTGGGGCACAAGCCATGGCCAAAGCCAACTACCTTCATCGAGCTGGTATCGCGAGCGCCATCTTTGCCATTCAGGAGGTGCACCAAACTTTGGCAGAGTTCCAGTTCGTCATGTCGAGGATTGCTCCGTCGTCCTCAGTGTTTGGTCCATTCGAACTGGAGGGAGATGGCCACAGGCGTGGTGGCGTGGCAACGGTTGTCCCGCTTGCACAGGATGGGGATGTTGTCGTTGTTCCGCTCGATCTCATTCCTGGACGTGTGTTGCGCCTGGTTCTCCGCCGCGGGCTCGTTGAACTTCGGCATTACAATGTTCACAATCACGGACTGGAGCGGGGAGATGTGCTACAAGTTACGCAACGTATTCAGGAAGACTATGCTTGGGCTGCAGCGGCTCCGTCTTCGAGAATGGTTGTGGTCTGTGGGGATTTCAATTTTTCTGCACATGAGGCCTTGAACCTGGCTGATCCTGCCCAAGCGCGTGATCCCAGGGCCACCAACAATGCCAGAACACATATGAAGCTCTGGCTCTCAGTGCTCTCGCCATTCGTCGAGGTTGCCTCAGAGGACCCCACTCACTCCTGCAGGGGCTCCAGGACGATGGCGCAGTTCGATCGTGTTTGGATATCTCAACCTGGGTGGGTTGCGCGTCAAGTTCAACACTCTGTGGCGGTTATTTCCACTCCTGAAGAGTTGTCTGATCGAGAGGTTTCTGATCATGATGCTGTCAGGGCTACGCTCAGCAACAGGAGCCAACGCAAGAAGTATGTCAAACCAGTGCCCCCTGCTATCTACAAGTCTGCCGACTTCTGCGAACGACTTGGGCGGCTCCTCGACTATGAGCGGCACGCGTTCTTGTCTCTTTCCCCTCCTCGTCAGATGGAACGATCTAAGGAGTTGGTCAATGCGGCCGCGCTTGACTCGCTCAATCAGTTGCTGGCAGGCGATCCTGGATCTCGTGAAGCGCAGAGGATGTTTGCGCGACAGCTGGCGAGGGCTGTCTGGCGTCAAGACGTGCGGTTGGCCTCGCGGGTTTGCAATGCATCGGAGACGGCTCGGAACTGTATTGAGATTACTGGGCGCCAGGTGCGGCTGGTCCAGCCAGCTGTTTTCTCGGCCTGGGTCGACACTGTTCAGCGAGCTGCTGCCGATCATGAGCTTGAGGGGCTTCAGCATGCGGCACTTCATGCAGTGGGGCGTGCTCGGCCTTCCACTGGGGCCCTTGCTGCGAAGTCTCGCAAGACGCGCCTGTGGGCGCCGTTTGGGAAGAGGCTGACGCTTCGGGCCATCTCCGTGAATAACTGCGCACACACGGATGCGATGGCCAAGTTGGGCGCCTTGGCGGCATACTGGGCTCCTGTGTCTGCGCCACCTGCAGTGTTCCCCACCGCTATGCGTGTTTACGTCGACAAATTCGTACAGCCTGGGCACTATGAAGATATCCCTCCGCCCAATTGTTCGTTGCTTGGTCGAGTTCTGCGACGGCTCGCGCCATCTTCGTCTGCTCCTGTTGTTGATGGCCTTCCCTACTCTGCATGGGCGGCGCATCGCATGGGTGGCGACGTGCTGTGGAATGCCTGCGCGTGGCTGATGGATGGGCAACTTCTCTTTTCCAGCACTGGTGACACGCTTCAGGCTTTTCTCCCCAAAGGCAGTCAAGTGGGATATGATGACAGCAGAGGAGTTATGCGTACTCCTGATACGGTGAGGACACTCGGGCTGCGAAACACTGACATGAAGGTCATTTCGGCCACATTCAATCAGGCCATTGCACCTATCATACAGAGGACGACGTCAGCCTCGCAGAGGGGCCCCATTGCAGGACGTCGGTTTACTTCCAACATCCTGGAGCTAGACATGATGGCACGGGTTGCATCACTGCAGCCCGCGGTGCTCAAGCGGAACCCGTTGCTCGTCGCGCTCGATGTCGGCCAGGCATTCCCGTCCTTGAGTCAAGAGTTTCCCTTTGCTGTCTTGAATCGTCTGTGCCTTCCGCGCGGGCTGCATGCTGCTATTCGCGGCTTGTACTCAGTTGTGACTGCTGTCGGGCGTGTTGATGGGATTACCAAGCCGCTTTTCCGTATCTTTTGTGGAATTATTCAGGGATGTGCGCTGAGTGGCAGCCTGTTTGCAGCGGCTACGTCACCTTTCTTGGAGGACATCAGGCGTGGCATTGAAGTTTCAGTACGTGGTGTGTTTCGTGCATGTGCCGACGATATTGGTGGCGGTGTCTTTGATATGCTAGACCTTAGATTGTTGGCTCGGGTGATGGCGGTAGCAGAGAAGTTGGCCAATCTCAAGCTGAAACCTCCCAAGTGTGTGCTGGTGCCCCTCGCCGACGCCTCTTCTGAGACCATCCAGGCTAAGACGCTAGATTTTCTTCATCAGCATGTCCCTGGATGGGCGGCATTCAAAGTGGGGGCTAGCTTGCTGTACTTGGGTGTCTGGCTCGGGCCTGCTGCAGTACCTATGAGCTCCTGGAATGGACCATGGGCCAAATGCAAGATGCGTGTCGGTGCGTTGGCTGCCTCGTCTGCGCCGCTGTCGCTGAATGCTCTGAACTACGTGATTCGTGCAGTACCGGCGCTGAGTTATATTGCACAATTCTTCGCTCTCCCTGGAGCCATCCGCAAGTTCGATATTAATGTTCTGGTTCGCCTTCTCCGCTTCCCTGGTGGTGCTCTGCGGCTGGTCGATTTCTTCGCGCTGACGGATTGGG